CTATTTGGTAACATGCTCTGAGCATAGAATGTTCTCTTTGTTGCAGTATTCTGTAATTGCTTCTTTTGTAAAATATGTTGCATGTTGCTTTATCAATAGAATTTACATCTTAAAGTGTTTTGCTTTGTTGATACTAAAATGTTTTTTTAAAACCTCTAGCTATTCTAAGAGCTAGTCAATAGCTTGCAATTTGCCAGATTGACAGAAGATTCTCATAATTTAGACTCAATTTGTATGTGTCACACCAGTCAACTTGAGCCATTTATGTTTAAGCCAGCTAGAATTACTGGCTAGCCCCTACTGCCATTACATACTATCCTTACAAAGAACGATATAGTCTTAGATGTGTTGGGATTGGGATTGGGATTGGGATATCTGTCATTCAGCAATAATGTTGTTTCCTATTATGTGTCTTCCCACTTGCCTCAGGCTTTGGCGGGATCCCCCTTTTGTGGGTGGGTGTCAAAACGTATGTGCATACTTGCAATACATTCATCTTTGTTATGACTGCCTTGTACGAACTTGTTTTGGTAAATCATGAAATATATATCAGTTCCACAGAGCTACTTTTGAGGAGAGCTTAATCACAGCTGTGCACTAGACTGTAGCACACTTATTTGGAACAATATCCAGAAAGACCTAATTTTCACTCATGTGCTGGTAATGCAATAAAATAAAAATCACAAAGTTGCCTTTGATCTCTTCTGATTGGTTATCAAAACTGTATTTAATGATCAATATTTATTTTGAAAGGTTCATTTAATGCAGAAAGTGTGCCAGGTACTGTACAAATCAGTTTTGCTGCCTGAAGTGAAGCTAAGGTCCACATATGGAGAAAAAAGAAAAAACCTCACTGCATCTTTCAGATTATATTTCCTGCCTCAATAATCCCTTACTCATGGTACCACTACAGGCAGACTGCCTCACTTTATTGATTGGCAAAGCCAATCCTATTCCTCTAACCAAATCTAACAGGATCTTTTCCCAACCTGGTTCTTTCTAGATGCTTTGGAATGTAACCCCCAGCATCCCAACCATAGTAAGTACTAACTAGAGCTGATGGGAATTGAAGTCCAAAATATCTGGAAGGCAACAAGTTGAGGAGAACTGATGTAAAGTAACAAACAGGATAAAAGTGAAGAAAAAAGGCATGCACATAACAGAGTGCCAAGAATGGGAGTAAAACTGAATTAAATAATGGTGGCATATAGTCGGTTCAACTAGGGCAAGTCTAAGAGGATATGTTTGAGAGGGAACTTTGAGGGGAGTGCTATTAGTTTGATGAAAATGGAGCAGCAGCCTGTTCCAATCATAGGGTGTAATGAAAAATAAATGATGCAGTATTGTGGGTAAGAATGATGAAAAGGAGGAATCAGACACAACCTAAATTGCATGTATTATACACAACAGTACTTCTGAAAGTAACTGTATTAGGGAAGGAGGTTGTCTGTGGGATGCTCTATTTTCAGACAGAGGTGTTTGCAGTGTGTCCAACAAGAGTAGAAGCAGCAGCTGGACACACTTAAGTTATGGTGCTTTCCTATGGGCTTTATTTGAATTTGATATTGTGCCATTAAAAAGGCATGGGTTATGAGGCTTAGTGTTGGATAAAGATTTTGGGGCACAAAAAGGCCTTATACCAGCAGTTTTTCCCCCCATACAGTCCATTCCATTATGGAATTTTGCTGCAGCATCTTGACCTCTTAAAGCACAATCCAGAGGCAGACATAAGTATATCCCATTGAAATCAATGGGATTTAAGCACACTGACCTTCCCTGACTTGGCTTTATGACTAACATTTAGCATACAGTTGTACAGGTTTTAATTCTACTGATATCTCTGAACTTTCACAAGAATTCATCCTCTAGATGAATGCAGATGATAATTACTTGAACTTGAGTGTCCAAGTAAAGCTCACTAAAATTGCTAGAAGTTTTCACTTTTTGTAGTTGAAGTAAAATATGGATTAAAAACCTGAAGTGTTACTCCTTGTTTTTTTTTTTCAGTTTCAATAACTTGGGACAGCTTCTGACCTGGGAGGCAGCCAAAAAATAAAATAGCTCCTGAAAGTGTTCTGGAGTGTTCTACCCCCCAGAATCCAGGAAGGAATATTTATTCTGCCACTGGTTTCTATTCCACTGATGGACAGTGAGGGTTGGATATAGCCCTAAGTAACTGCAAAATGGATTTTACCAGAGTAGCTTCAAAATGAAAAGGCAGATGGCCTAATCTGCAGGGATTGGATACATGAGCATGTCTAGACCTGTGATAGTAGCATACCTTTGTCACATTTAACATACTGCTTTATTATGTATAAGACCAAAATGGCCTCTGTAATGTAAATGGACTTCAGGAGACTTCTCTTGCAACTGTGTTGTGTTTCAGTTCATAAGGCCCAGTGAAATAGGAGTCACCAACTGACAGTCTTACCACATTCTTAGTTCTTAGAACTAGCTTAGCTCTCACTGGTTTGATCCTTTCTTTATATAAGAACGCTGTGTATCTGAAAGTTGATCTATGGAAAGTGCTTTGCAAAAATTTTACTGCACTTACTGCATTAAAGTGGTTCAAATTTGTGAGGGTCTTCTTCTGCAGCCCTCCCACTTTCATCTGTATTGGAAGGGGGAAATACACCTTGGTATTCTTTCAGACTGTCAGTTGCTCTATTGGCCAAAATAGGCTATTATGAGGAATGAGTGGCAGATAACACAGATATGGAATCTGCCGGCTGACATTTCTGAACACTGAGGTTTCTCACAGGACAACACAACTTTTCAGGAATCTGAATTAGCTTTGAATTAGCTTTGTCTGTGTTCTTCTCCCTTCCTTCCCATTTCCAAGACAAAGAGATAGAGGTCTACAGTTAAATGCTATATAATTCAGGGCTCTGGCTGGGAGTATGGAAAAAAGGAAGAGGCATTGAAGAGGAGGGACTAAGTGTGGTGAACTCTAATTGGATCCCACTTGATGTATTTTTGCCTACTTTGAGTTCTTCTCTCTTCAGTTAACAGAGTATTTTGAGTACACATTCATATTAGTCATTGACTCTACAAAGTAACCATTGCCACATGTAAGAAAGTTATTTATACAAAAACATATAATGATATGTTCTGTCCTTGAATACAAATGGTGCAGACTCTAGTTCTTTCTAATCTTTAGCTGGTGCAGTTAAGTTTCTTAATAGTTCCCTCCCCAAGATATTTTAATGTTAGAACTCTAGTGCAACAAAACTGGTTCAGCAGAACCATTGCCGGTTATACACATGCCCGTTTGGTTTTTTAAACTAAAGGTCTCAACATTCCTTTACAGTACATGGCGTTCTGCTTGTCTTGTAGAATATTGTGCTGTTTGTTCATCTTGCCCAGATGAAAATGGGCAAAATGGCAATGCAAAATCTGGGCATTCTAATCTGCATTTGAAAACCATGAAAAAGCTGAGACTTGAAAGGGCCACTTTGGTCGTCTTAAATTAATAGTTGAGCAGTTTCTGTGGCTGAGTTCACATTACAGGACAACCCACCTTGGTATAAGCCCTGGTGAGTTGGTTGTTTTCTGAAGTGCCGTGATGATCCTGACAGACTTGGGCTTATCTTTCCTTGCAGTACTTTGCCCACTTGCTCATTCTCCCTCCTCCTCCTAGGGCACAGAATGCTGCAAGAAGAAATAAGTCTCCTAACAGCCACAATCCCAAGGTGATTTCAGGTCTCCATGGTAGCCAAAGCTTCCTCATTACACAAATAGGCCGTTTGACCTGAAGCTCAGATGGGCAGCATCTAATTTGGCTGGGGCAATGTGCGGCAACCTCTTGTCACCGTAGCACAAACAGGGCTCCTGACTAGTGCAGTGGGGCAATTGATCATGCACCCCTGCCTCCTTGCTCTGAGGGTGCCCAAGCCACTTGGCATCACCACTGAGAATAAGTGCCGCTGGCTAGCTGGTTGGCTCCTGCCCAAGGGGTCAACTCCTGGGCAGGAGATAGGTGTATCATATTTGATGGTGATGCTGCCTTGGGCTTGAGGTGACTGCTCTGAGCAGATTGGACCCTCCCACCTCCTGCCATTGCTCTCCTACCTAAAAGTAGGCCTCTTGGGCAGGGGGTGTCTGATCTGCTCAGCATCACTGCTTCAAGCACTGGGTGTCCACCAGCTTACATTTCCCAGCTGGATCACCAGCTTACATTTCCCAGCTGTCTTTGCCAGGGGTTCAAGAGTACTAGACCTTTCCAGCCACTGGCAAGGATTTCCTCTTATCTTTGGTATGAGGCCCTGAGCTCCCTTTTCGAGGAGGAATGGATCCCATGAGTCCTGAGCTGCTGACAAGACTGGCCACTCCATGCTTCTGCAGGCAGGAGAAAGTTCTGATAACAACCCCCAAGTACCACTTAGATATTTTGGAGACTGCTGTCATTGGTGCTTGGCAAGGGCAGTGAAGGATTTTCCTTGTCCTTGGCATGTAGTTTGCTGGCTGTAGTGGTTCATCCATGTTTGGATGACACAACAGTCCACCATGGCTAACAACCCTGGAACAGCTCGTGGGCATTGCAGGGTGGCGTGCCTGAAAAAACAAGTAATTATTTGTGAAACAGCTCTGTTTGCACTACATGACAGCCTATGTATAATAAGAAACAAGAGTGGGTTGTCCTGTTATCCAAAAAAAATCCTGTCCCATGTGTGCACATGCCTGTAGTTTCATAATTTGTGGTTAAGGCAGGCTATTCCCCCCTCCCCCCAAAGGACTTCTCTCCCATTTCACAAAGGCTTCTCTGCCTGGTCATCTTTAGAGGAGCTTTGCTAATTGTGGGATTGGCTTGCAGTGGTCCTTAGTCACTTTGTCCCATCAAGCTGAAGTCCAGTATGCTGCTCAAGATCTACCTTCAGCACTAGTTTGCTAGAGGGATTTGTAAATGTCTGTTATGTAAAATGTAAAAAACAGAGTTTATTGTCTTGCTGCTTTCAATGGAATGCTGTAACTACCTATGATTTTTTTTTCCTCTTCAATAGATTGCTGAAGCTGGGAAAGAATCCTTGCCTCCTTGGTTGCACTGGGAACCAGAGAGTAGTACCTTGGAAGGCCTCCCACTTGATACAGATAAAGGCATTCATTATATCTCAGTGAATGCAATGCACCTGGTATCGAATGGAAGCTACGTGCCCCAGACTACCAATGTATTTTCTATTGAAGTCCACCCTGAAGATCATAATGAACCTCAATCAGTGCGGGTGGCTTCACAAGATGTGAATGAAGCAGTACCATTTGTGTGTAGTGCAGAGGAACCAGTCACTATCTTGACTGTAATTTTGGATGCTGACTTAACAAAAATGACACCAAAGCAGAGGATTGAACTTTTGAACAGAATGAAAACCTTCTCTGAAGTTGAACTTTATAACATGAAATTAGTTCCTGTTGTAAATAATAGACTCTTTGATATGTCCGCATTTATGGCTGGACCAGGGAATGCAAAGAAGGTGGTGGAAAATGGAGCCTTACTGTCATGGAAACTGGGCTGTTCGTTGAGCCAAAATAGTGTCCCAGACATAAGCAATGTTGAATCTCCTGCTAAAGAAGGTACAATGTCTGCTCATCTTGGCTACCCTGTGGTTGGCTGGCACATTGCTAACAAGAAGCCTAATGTTCCAAAGAGAATAAGGCGGCAGATCCATGCTACACCAACACCTGTGACTGCTGTTGGACCTCCAACGACTGCCCTCCAAGAGCCACCAACTAGAATTGTTCCAACACCCACTTCTCCCGCCATTGCACCTCCCACTGAAACAACAGCTCCTCCGGTGAGAGAGCCTGTACCATTGCCTAAGAAGCCCACAGTTACAATTAGAACAAGAGGAGCTATTGTTCAGACACCAACCCTTGGACCAATTCAGCCAACCAAAATGGTAGACGCAACCACCACTACTCCTGGCCAGATTCGACCAACAATGACAGTGCCAACAGAAGCTACTGCAGCAATTACACCACCCACAACAAAGAAACCCAAAGGAACCACACCAAAACCAGCCACACCATCCACCACTGATACAAGTACAACACGAAGACCAAGACCTACCAAAACACCTCGCCCTCCAAAGCCTCCTCGGACTACTAAACCAACCCTTGTTGAACAGAAAACAGTTTCACCACCAACTCGCATTCGCACCACTACAATTGGAACTCCCCGTATACCCAATGATCCACCACAACTGAAAAACCACATTGACAGAGTAGATGCATGGGTGGGCACATATTTTGAGCTCAAAATACCTTCAGATACTTTCTATGACAAGGAGGATACCACTACTGATAAATTGCAACTCACCATGAAACTAGAAGAGGAGAAGCCACTGGAAGAAAATTCTTGGGTGCTGTTCAATACTGCTAGTCAGCTAATGTATGGACTACCAAATCGCACCCATGCAGGCAGGCATGAATTTTTCATGCATGCCACAGACAAAGGTGGCCTTTCAGCTGTGGATGCTTTTGAAATATTTGTCCATGCTCTGGGGGCAGATGAGGTACCTCCAGTTAAATTTAAGGCCAAATTTCATGGAGATCATAATACAGTAGCCAGTGACATTAATAAGAAAATTAGGCTGGTAAAGAATTTGGCTTTAGCCTTTGGAGAAAGAAACAGCAGTACTATTACCATAGAGAATATCAGCAATGGCTCTGTTGTAGTTGAGTGGACAAACAATACTCTACCTTTGGATCCATGCCCAGAAGAGAAGATTCGCTCCCTGAGCAGAACAATTGCTAATGATTCTGGTGTCCCAACTGCAGCTTTCTTTAATCACCTAGAGCCAGAGTTTAAGCCCATCAGCATTTCTGTAGTTGGTGCTGGTAGCTGTAGACATATTCAGTTTATCCCTAAGATTAAAGATGGACTTCCTGCAACTGCACCACCTACAGTTGTGCTTCCACGAGATCCAGAAAAGACAAGTGAAGATGATGTGTACTTGCACACAGTAATCCCTGCAGTAGTTGTAGCTGCCATCCTGCTTATTGCTGGAATTATTGCTATGATATGCTATCGCAAGAAGAGAAAAGGCAAACTCACTATAGAAGACCAAGCCACCTTTATCAAGAAGGGTGTACCAATAATCTTTGCAGATGAGCTTGATGACTCCAAGCCGCCTCCTTCCTCTAGCATGCCCCTGATTCTACAGGAAGAGAAAGCTCCTCTCCCACCCCCAGAGTATCCCAATCAGAATATGCCAGAAACTACTCCACTCAACCAAGACACCATAGGAGAATACACACCACTGCGGGATGAAGACCCCAATGCACCTCCCTATCAGCCTCCCCCTCCCTTCACAGCACCCATGGAGGGTAAAGGCTCCCGTCCGAAGAACATGACCCCATACAGGTCTCCACCTCCCTATGTCCCCCCTTAATGAACCAGAGACGCTTGCGGAGATGGGGCCTATAGTTCCACACCAGTGTTGTTGGTAGGGATCGGTGGCCTGCAAATCCGTTACCAACTAGAAAACCAACGTACAGACTCTCAAACATTGCCTGGTCCCAGCAGGCCCTCTCCGAACGCGTTTGCTACACCAGAGTGCTCGTGGAACACTCGGGACACTTGATTTTATTTTTGCCTAACAGCTTATGTTTTGTTTATTCATAGAAAAAAAAATCTTCTTGGCTCAAAAAGTATTTCTGACAGCAGGCGTCTCAAAGCATCTTGTGCAAAGGGAGACTGGCTGGACATGCAGGCAGCACTTGGGGTGGCACGCTGGGTCTCTGCTGTTTGCCTTTAAAACTAACTGTACTGTTTTTTCTATTCACGTGTGTCTAGCTACAGGGCATAACATGAAACGTAGCCTAAAAATTAAATTCAGAGGAGTTTCTGAGGTCAACGTTAAGTTTTTACATTTAATTGCCGTTACCTGAACGTGTATGTATAGATTTGGGGAAGGGAAAGGGAAATGCTTTACTACAAATAAGCTCAAGGGGTGTTTCCAATGCCAACCAGGCTGAGGGACTGTCTTTTTTATCAAAGGAATCCTATTTTTTCACACATTATACAATTCAGTCATCAGCTGGGGTCCTTTCTGCAAACTGTAGAATGAGCTCCTGTCGCTCTAGCCAGCTGTTCCTGGTCAGATGCCACAGGTTTCTTTAAGAATGGCGTTTTGATTGCTTTTTGCAAATACAAAAAGCAGTTACACTGCAGTATTGCTGCCCTTTGGAAATGGGAGGCCTAACAGTGGTATCTGCAGGCTGCAAAGGTCATGGTGCTGTGCTGAGATATTTCTCCTGGAAGGCATACTCTGGCTTTTGAAACACTCTTGAGATATTTTGGTGAAGATGCAATATTTTTATGTAGTGTAATGCAGTTTCCTCACATCAGACTCCTCCTGGACCACAGTATTAGAACAGCCCCCCTTCCCCCATTCCTTCTGGCTGTCCCAGCCCACTCCCCTATCACTCTCCTCTGTGCGCACACAGACGCAATAGTAGCTGCCTGGCGGTTGTCAAAATAAGAATCGCCAGAAGTAGTTCATAGTAAAAATCAGTGAACTCTCAGCTCTAATTTTTTACTAAATTTTTGATACAGCCTCAAATTGTTTTATTAAAAAATAATTAAAAATGGTAACGCTGCCAGCAGTTTGTATGAGCTTAGCTTCTTAGTATCAATTCAATGGGACTGACTGCTTTGCTCAGTTTGGATTCTTTTTTCCTGTTTGGTCTTTCATAGTCATTGTTTTAAATATTAGAGCCATGTCTAGATTTCTTGCCTTTAAAAAGTGAACTTCCACACATTTCTCCTGGGAAGTTGGAGTTACCCTCAAGGTCACTCCCATGCCTCTTTTTCTTTAGATAAAATTGTTTTACGCATGAATTTTTTTCTTGTCCATTTGAAACTATTTTTGGTACATTAGAGGGAGGAAAAACCCTTTGCAATAATGAGTCCATCCCCTCCCCGGGGGCTGGGCTGCCTCTGGCTGACTTTGCACACAAAGCAGACACTTTTAAGCCATATTGACTGTTTTGCAAAGTATGTTTGTGTGCTGATATGGCCAGTTAACACACTAGTGGATGAATGGCTACAATGACCTTCACCTCTGAACTTGCTAGGGTGGCATTTTCCTTCAAGCCCTTTTTTAACTACTTGAACAGGATTTTGCCGATCAAAACAAATATTAATTTGGCTATTGTCCCATATAGTTCTGCCCTCAGCTCCTGCCCCCTGAGGTTGGCTAGAGGAGTATGTGTTGCAGTGAGGGTGACAGGAAAGAATGCTTCCGGTTTTGCCTTTGTCTAGCTTTACAAGTATAGATTTGCCCTACAAAGTCTCTTCCCCCACTCCCTGCCTCCCAGTGATTGAATGTTGGCATGTGTCTGAAATGAGGAGTGGCAATGGATTCTCCTCCTCACACAGGAGAGCTGGTTGAGGAGAAGGGGATTACCTGGCACCAGTTAGGGGACACTGCTTTTGAACAGACCCTAGAAATATGGTAGAATCTCTCCTGCTCACCACCACTGCCTGCCTAGCTACCAACCATGGCAGCACAGTGCCAAAAATCTATACTGGCAGGCCTGCATTTCAGATGTCTCCAATTTATCAACACACAGAGCCTCCTAAGCCCAAATGCTGCAAGTTAGAAGGGCCTTCCAAACAGTGCCGTTGTCCCTAGCAACTGATACCACTTTAGACTGGTCATGCGCAAGCGCAAACGGTTTCAGGCCTGGGCCTACCTGTCACCATAGAAACTGGAGGCGAAGGGGCAGTGAACAGAATAATAACAATGGCATTCTCATCAGCCGCCTTCCCCCTAAGCACCAGTGCTGTTTGTTTATGCCACTAGACACTGTAATGGTGGGAGAGAATCTTGTATTAAAAGTGTTCACCAACCACTGATGTGTTTTTATGTCCTTATATAATTATTTTAAAAATGTGTTTTCTGCATTCTGTAAAGGAACATACCAACTAAATAAACCAGTGTACTTTACTACAAATGCAGAGGCTAATGAGCTCTTCCATTTAGATTCCTCTGGGTTTCTAGTACTCAGCGCTCCCATAATGTAGGAAACTCCCGAGAAAGAAGTGGTAGAAAGTGCAGCAAGATAATCCCAGTGAGTTCAAGACTGAGCTGTTGAACAATGAATGGCTGCTCAAAAGGTGCATTCTGTTCTTGGTGGAATCCCAGGAAGTGCGCTCAGCGCTAACTTAAAAATGAGGTAGGTCAATAGAGTCCATCTTACAGAAGGAGAAAAGAGGCATGGCACCATAATCACCCCCCCTCCCGAATGAGTTCCTACCTGACTAAGCATGTATTTAAATACACACATCTTAGTGCTCTATTTCTTTACCACTCTTCAGTGGGAATCCTTATGTATTTGAGAACAGCTAACAGTTTTGGCTATTTTGTTTTTTTTAAATCCTCATACCTTCTGCTCTGTCCTCACTCATGAATAGTGGAGTAGGGTTCTCTCAGCCTGTACCTAGAGGCACAACCTTAGTGGACTTCAGAAAATGGAAGGACTTAATGAGTGTCATTTTATATTCCAGCATGTCCATAATCCGTGTTCAACTTTTGCTCCTTTGATTTGAGCTATTAACTTTCTCTAAACTCAAACTGGGAGCTTGGTAGGCCCTTAATCCATTCCTTTGGTATCTCAAATGTTGTTATAAATGCTAAACTCTTGGGATAGCATCTAAGTATCAATAAAATTATACATTAATTGGGTGCCATCCTCTGTAGCTTCAGGCCTGTAGGGAAATGGAGTTCCCAGGCTTGCATAATCACCATCATCTATATACCATGCATTTATCTGAACAGTTCAGGATGCAACATTGTGCATGTATTGTAAAAGAGTAAGACCCAGTGAACAAGGTGTTTATTTTTGAATACGCAAGGATAGGCTTGCACTGCATGACTACAGTTCTAATCTTGCTAAGAAGGAAGTCTCCCTAGAATAACTTTGTTAACCAGCCAACCTCCAGATATTTTGGTTTATAGCTCCCAAACTTCCTAAGTCATTGGAGTTAATGCAGGCTGGAAGTCCCAAAAATCTGGAGAAATCTTGGAGAAGGCTGCCATAGAATGCAAATTATAGCTGTTTGGTTACACTGCTGTGCCAATTTACTGAAGTAAATTTCAGTTACCTTAGATTTACTTTTGAGTAATGCACAGGATCAGAGTGTGAGTTTACAATGCACAGTTCATTTACAAAGTAAATGAGAATGAACTAAAGCAAGTTGTCCATTATGTCCAAAGTAACCAATCCCTCTGACATCCACTCTTTTTGTTTGGTCATTCAGCCCGTAAGCACCAAACTGCAGATTACAATAAAAGAGCAATTTGGTATGGTGTGCTTGTTCCCCTGCCCTTTAAATAGCTCTAGGAGAGAATTAGGATCAGGACCACAGGGCAGATACCAATAGCAACTTTCTTCTTGTGCCACTGTGGGGTGGGGTGGGGGGAGCGATCTTCAGGATGATGCCAGAAAATACCCAACAACAGTGGGACCAAGAATCAAAAGCTTAGCCTGTGCTGAACAACCCCATCTTAATCAACTAACCTTGCTGACCAAGTGAATCCACAGGACACAAACTTTGCCACAGAGCACTCCTGTTAGAGAAATCATATGAATAAACTCTAAACGTAATTCTCCAGAATGAATAGTATTTAAATATAAGCATCGAAGTGTGACTTCTAGGGACACACATGACATGATTCACTAGCTCCTACTACTATTTTAAAAATCACTAATGGCATTAGCAAGGCACCTTGCACAATGTACTCCATTTCCTTTGGGCCAAAAATGTTTCATATTGTTTACCGCTTCTAAACCTGTGGCAAAAGCTGACAGAGTAGTGCCAAAGCATTTTGTCCACATTAATGAGTTTAATAAAACCAGACAGAGATTAAGGAGTTCAGGCAAGACATGTAATCCATTTTCATCACTGGTTAGTACACTGTGCAAGTTAAATCGGTTTCTACAAATCTCCCTGTACATTTACCCTGGCTCAGTTGGCAGCAGTTGCAGTTCACTTGCTCAAAAATGCAACATTCTTACTGGTTTAAACATTGCTTATCCTCATAGGAACTTGACTAATACCATGCGACCAGAACTCTGCTGGTAGCTCAAATTTCAACTGCCTAAATGGATGTAGAATAAAAAGCTGGGATGGCTTGTGCATATCCTTTGTCATGCACCAAGTGGCAAGAATTACTTGCCTTTAAGCACTGTTCTGGTAATTGCCAAGACTTCCATGCTTCGGGTGCCGAATGAATTAATATACTGCAGATGTCTGTTCCCTGGAAAGGCCCTGGATATAGTGTTCATAGTCACTGCCAAAGTGAGCTGCATTGGGACGGTTCAAAATTTCCTGTTCTTCCAACAGTTCTTTTGAGACGTGGCATCTGAACTAATACGTCCTGTCAGAGTGCATGTGGAGGGAGAGTGTGACCACTGCAGGGATCTTCAGTGGCCATAGTATGCACAAACTAGATATGTGAAGGCCTGAGGTTGGAGAGAACCAGGAAAATTCAAAAGAAGTTCTTTGCCCCGGTTCTTTTCCCAAGTGTTCAGACACGTTGCACCCTCTTCAGGATTCCTCTTACTGCAATATCAGTATCTGAGACTGCATGTCTTGATTACACTCGAGTGTCACAGAATGCAAGGAATGGGTTGTGTTGTATAAAGCCAATTGTATATTGTATACAACTGGATTGCATATTACCACGAGTATGCATACTGTAAGAGTGTGTGGGGGCAGGGAGAAAATCTTCAGAATGGTAGCAACTTCCAGAAGGGCAACTATGTCATTCTGTGCCTGCAGGAATAACTGAGTCATGGTGCCTTAGACAGTAGACTTGTTATGGCTTAAACCTTTGTAGACTAGCAGACACTTCAGCTGCACAGAGTGTTATCCCCATTTGCAATTAAATGGCTGTGTATGTATGCATACAAGCACACACAGAAAGAAATATACATGCAGTGAGGTCAGGTGGCCATCAAACCCAAAAGACACTATTTGGTCATTGAATATTTTCATTTCCTAAGCACCCTTCTACTAGCCTTCAAGTCATTCTTCAATAAATGCTTCAGACAGGGACTACTGCATGAATATGCTGAATTAAAATGCATGGGTAAGTTTGATTCAATTTGTTGAGGCCTCAGTCAGGACAAAGGTTTCCTCTTCCACTGTAGGCATTTAAACTAGCATGGAAAGCCAAGAATGATTGTGTTATGAGTGCTATTGTGAGTGGTCACTGTTTAGCTTGCATATTTTGAGTATTACATGAAATGGCAGAGAAAGCATCTTGCATTTCTGAGCCATTTGTCCTTGTTGCTTACCATCCCCACCACCACTACCTATACCCCTCTATCTTCCACTGAGGCTTACACTTCATTTATCTGCTGAAGTGGTTCTTGGTTCATGCAAGCTGATACTGTAATGCATCTATTCATCTTTAATTTGTCATAAACATGGTGTAAATTTCAGCATACTCTCACAGGTTCCACCTAACAAGGAGTGGTGCCTGCTCAGTTGCTGACAGAAGCCAGTAGGGACTGAGCCCTTGTGTCTTGTTATTTCCCCAAGGCAAATGTGGTCTCTGCAAAGGTGGGCATTTGGTAGTGCAGAGCAGCGCAGTGCAGCACAACAGCTGCCTCCTGCATTCAACAGTTGCAAGTTTGACTGCATTCTGTGACTATTTTTGGTGCGTTGCTCCTGCTGCACCCCGAAGGCTATGAATTGGATTGTTCAGCCATGTGTTAATCAGGCTGCATTCAGCAGGAGTGTGTGGAGGGAATGAGAAAATGGACACTTAAAAGCTTTTCCAGCATCTCCTCGGAAGAGGCTGAGTGGCAGGGCTGCATATGTTCCACTGCCAGCCATCAGAACAACTCCCCTCTCTCTTCTTCAGGAGGCTCTGTGATTTGTGAGCATTGTGTGTGAGAGCACATGGCACTGCTGATAAGAATGCCCAGCCCTGTTCAGTGAGCTTTTGCTGCAGAAGGGCAAGGCAGGCGCTGCAAAGCAAGGCTGTGCTCTCGCAGTCGGTTGCTCCGACGAAGCTTTTGCTCCCAGCCTTGCATTGGCAGCCTTACAAGCAGTCATTAGGCCCATCCCATCTATTTTAAACTCTGCCAGGACGGGAGAAGGGAAGGTTATGTATAAAGGCCTTCCCTATTTATGGTTCTCTCGCAGCACAAGTTTGCCGTCGTCACATGGCCCCTCCCTTCTCTCAACCAGCTACATTTAAAGAAACTTTGCAGCCCTTATTTAACTATGATTTTGTCTTAGGGGCCCAGCTTTCATCCTGCTTCAGACAGCTGGGCACAAACAAGCCATTTTTAGCCTATGTGGGTGGAGCAAACATTGTATTTTGTAACCTGACACTGGGAACACTTGCTGTCATTCAAGGGCAAGGCATGAAGGGTTGAGTGTTGTTTTTGCTTCAGAGGATCGCCTCACAGGAAGTTCAACCATGGCCCTGGGAAGTTTTTCTAGAGGTCTTAGGCCTGACCTGCTGTCAGCAGAGGGTCTGTCCTTTGTGATCCGAGAGACAATCTTGATCTCATGTGCTGCTGCTGCTCTTGCGTCTTTGTTCACTTCCCTGCAGCATCTGCCGCTGTGTACTTGTCATTCCCAAACTGTGTCTCTGCAGCCGATGACAGCTTCCACTAGCCTACTTCCCTGACATGATTACTCTTTGAATACCAGGAGAATAGTCAGCTAGTGCTGTACCTGTCGCTCATGATCAAGCAAGGAAGGCAAGCAGGGGTGGGGGAAAGGAATATTATCTCCATCTCTTTCAGGATCTACAGGATTAATAGATGGCAGCTCAATGCATCTGCATGCCCATCAGAGTCACTATTAGCTAGGCCTTTCCTATTTTGCTTTGCCTTGAGTCTCACATTCACTGGCAGAGCTTTAAAAAGTGATCCTGCTGCAGTAACAGGAAAGGCAGGATGGAGCACCTTGTGAACTTGGCTGTGAAAAG